CTTCTGTTTTGGAAAACCACTTCTGACCCCACTCTGGTGTGGGCACTACCACATTACTGCCAGGTTTGATTAAAACCCCATATTCCGTTATTGGCCTCTGTTGATACCTTATGCAAGGATGGGCATAATGGGAATTAAGATTCTACACCAACCTTACACTGACAGCATGAGTATAAGAGTTAAAGAAAGAGGAAAGAAACATGAAAAGTGGCTCAACAGTCAAAGACAGGTTTATTTTGGAGAATAAACCTGAGAGGGGCTTCTGGTCGATTTTACTCAGGAGCACTCTCTCTTACAGACTAAGAGTATTTATTGGTAAGAGAATATTTCTGTTTGGGGGAGAAGTTTACAGTGGGGTTAGAATGTCTCTGGTCGGAGGAGAGGTTATCTTGGGGCTGACATCTCTCTGGCTGGAGGGGAGGTTATCTTGGGGGCTGGTATGTCTGTGATCAGGGAAGGGTTTGGAATGTTTCTGGTCAGAGATGTTATTTGTGGTTTATGGTCATGCTGACCTTAGTCATTAGACTGATGCCCTTTAAATTTAGGCGATTTTTTTTTTAATCAGGGTGGACTTTAAAATGGCAGTGCTTGTCCAAGACAGTGATGCTTCTGCTTTGTCAGTAGGATCGGGAGGCCTTGTGAATTCTGGCTGGAGCTGAAGGTGCTGGCTCTCTAGAAGCCCTTCTCCTAGACCTCAGCAGGACAGGGGAGGAATGCCTCACTGACACCAGGTAGAGGATGGAAGACTGACTTCACACATTGTCTTCACAGACACCATGGCAGAGGGCGTCACTTACACTGAGAGGGGAAGAAAGTTCAGGCTTTCCCATCAGCATTCTCTCACACCACTTGTCTCAGGGACGTATGTGACCTATGACAGTCAGAGGTGAGGTTGGGAGTTCTTCACTCAGGCTTTGCTGGGGTGTGAGGGAGACAGGGGTATGTTGCATGATTTTTGCTTAATGTTTGGTTTGAGTAGAGCATTTGTCCAAAAGTTTTCTGTCTTACTAGGCTTGTCCTTTAGCTACAGAATGTAGGCTTTCGTTGGGGCTTTTCTGACTGGACCTAGTGACATCTCCAGCAAGACTGTTCAGCATCTAAATAGGAAGCATGTATGAGTGGTATACGTGCAACAAAAGAAAACCTAGGGAACTCCCTGGCGTGTCATTCCTTGCATTTTAGGACCCTTAGCTGATCTACTTTCTTCTCTCCACCATTCAGATGTCTTTGTTTTCGTATCTTTGTTTTATATACAATGTCTTAGGTTTTTAGCTGTGCCTAGTGAAACAAACAGGGAGAAGTGTGTCTACGCCATCTTGTCCAGAACTGGAAGTTCCCTGTTTGTTTTTTTTTAATAGCATACTGTTTTTATTTAATGATTTCAATGTCTTCCTTTTTCTTCTTCAGGTTATTAATTTTAGTTCTTTTGAAGTTTTCTTCTGTCCTTTACATTTTCTCTTTCCCAGTTTTTTCCCCTGTTTGTTTATTTTGGTCATTTTAATTGAAGGTTTTTCCTAAATGCCTAGCAATCCTTGGGTGAATTTAATATTTATTCAGAGGAAGACACCAAATATTTGTTTAGATATTATGTGAGCACGTGTGGAGCTAATCAGCTAGTGTGCTTTCCTGTTGAGTGATTAAAAGAGAAGTTGCTTATTTCATAAGTCAGTGTTTAGACGTCCCTTCTCTTAGGTGGGTCAGTTTCTCCAGAGTGGTATTCTCCAGTCACTTATTGAGGAGATACAGGATTATACCAGGAAAGAATGAAGCAGGGTACTGCGTGGCTCCCTGTTCATGATACAGGTTGTCTTGCTATCCTGTTTTCATCCCAAACTCTCCACTGCTTTCACCAGTAAGTCTGTGGTCCCCACAGTCTGGAGATTCTTGTTCAATTATTCAGGACCATAAGTCTGTCATGTTTGATCTTGCCTGGCAGTTTGAGGGAAGGAGTAATAGAAAGGGGAGTATACACAGTCACATGGCTGACTGAGCTCCTTCACTGAGGGTCATGCTTGCAAACTTTAAATCAGAACCTCCGCCTGCTTTCTTCCCTGCGAACTCCAAGTCATCTGCATTTCTTTAGATAGCTTCTTGTGCTCTGCAGCACCATCTATCCTTCCTACATCCACTTTACCCTTTCCAGAATTTTCGTGAACTTTCTCATCTGCCATTGTCTCATCATTTCTTAATGCTGTCCTTTTGGGAATACAACGATGGACAATAGTTCCTTTAGCCAAACTCAGATTATCCCACCCCAAAGTCTGCTGTCTGACCCTCTCCCCTAGGACATATGAGGACTACCAGGACAGCCTGAGCTACCTTGCCTCTCTCTAATCTACCTGTCTCTCTAGTACAGTAACTCTCAGAGTAGCCTTGCCTCAGAATTCCCTGGAGGGCATTTTAAACATAAATTGCCAACCGTTCCCTCAGGGCTCGAAAATCTGCATTTCTCACCAATTCCCAGGAGTATGGTCTATCTGTTGCTGCACAGCCCAGAGGACCCAGCTGGGTGCCTGTGGGCAAGGACTTGCTCTGAGGCAAGTCTCTTAAATTCTCTGAGTTTCTAAGGGAGGAAATACCAGCTGTTTCTCATCCACAAGGTGCTTGGGGAGAAATAACTAGCTAAAAGCGATTTTTTAATGTAGAACAATATTTGGGAGTTCAAATAAACACATTAGATCAGTGGTTTGCAACCTTGGCTGCACATTGGAATTACCTGGAGAGCTAGAAAAAGTCTCAATTCTCAGGCTGTACCCTAAAGCCACCATGCAATAATTATCCAGCCATCCATTTTCTCTTCCTCCATCTCTTTCTTTCACTGTGTACATATACATATGCATACATTTTTAATTTTAGAATACCTCAGATTAAGCAGAGGATCTATAATTAAATCCTAATCTTGTAGAAAATTCTTATGCAAAATACTCTCATCTCCCAAATACATCTAATCACTTTCCCATCTAACTGTGGGACTCCCTACAATTTCTACCATAAAAATAAACTCTATCAAGGAGCTTAATTTAAAATAAGAACTTCATTTTCCATGTACTTACCTACAAAATAAACATCCGATTCTGTTCAACAAGAGATACTTGAGAGGCAAAAACTCAAGATCTTATATTAAGTAATCATCCCCTCTTTGCTCCAACTGATCTGTCAGTAAGAAATTATAGCAGAGACAGTCGCCTGTACAACTGGAGTAGTGTTGGGTAGAACAGTCAGCCCTGTGATAGTCTCCAGTGAGGGCTGTTCTTGCCAACCCTTTTTTCTAGGAACATATCAGCAAAATCTTACCTCATCCAACTCAGTCCTCCAGCATAGACACATTTTTAAGACAGACTCTTGAAACAGTTAAGAGAAATTTCACCTAGTTTTTAGCAAACAGTACACACAGAGTACTTGGAGATGCCATTGCATAGAGGTTGCTGCTATGAAGTAGGTATTCATGGGGTGGGCATGGGCTGTCTCTCGTTAGACTTGGACAACATGTGGGAAGAAAAGGGTTTCTTCTCCCAGTGGTTCATTCCAAAGAACAGAGATGCTGGTGATGCCCACACAGTTCTAACTATTCTGCTAGTGTGGACATATTTTATTTTGAAATCCTTAAGGTGCCCGGTGCGTAATGGCAACCAGGGATGGTGGTGGTAACGCTGGTGAGGCGGAGCCTTGCATACATTTCAGTGAGCGTCGGCATCTAGCTATAAGAGGTACTGGGCTCTGGAAGTGTGCTTCTGCTTCAGTTCTGCTCAAAAGGGGTGTTGTTTCAGCAGGACCCTTTACCCCGGTTGCTGGCCTTTAAAAGGTATTTCTAATGAGCATGCCAAGTTCAGTAGTTACTTTCAAGGCCTAATTATTTGATCAAAATAGAAGGCTGGATTTTTTTTTTTTAAATCTTGAAAGTAGACATTTTAACAGAAACAAGATTTGTTTTGTTCCTAATCTTCACGTTTTCCAAAATGACTGTGAACAAAGTATTTCACTGGACTCTATACTTTGAGAATTAACCAAAACATAGTGTTAAACCCAAAAGGAACTGGGCAGAGGAAGGATAGCATGTCCCCAGTTGATATGTCCTTTGACCTCTGACCCCTGACCTGTTCTCTCTACTCTCCAGAACCATATGCCCTGGGAGGAACCAGCAGGTGAGAAGCCCAGTTGCTCTTACAGTCAGAAGGCGTTCCACACGGAGCCAGCCCAGAAGCCCTGCTTCACCACTGAGATGGTGACATGGGCCCTCCTCTGCATCTCTACAGAGGCTGTCCACGGGGAGCCTCCTTCACATCCTAGGGGCCTCCCTCACCGCTCACCTGTCAGTGTGGATGATTTGTGGCTGGAGAAGACACAGAGAAAGAAGTTGCAGAAGCAGTCCCACGTCAAAAGGAGGCTGCACATAGGGACAGTGCACAATGATGGAGCCAAGGTAAGCTGTTCCCGGCCAGGAACCCTCAGACTTGCAGGGTATCCCCTTCTCTCTGCAGCTGCCTGTCACTTCCTGAGCTTTCGCTTGACTGTCCTGTGCTGTAGCTTGTCACACTGGACCCCCTATGATTACAGCATGCTGCCTGGGCCACACTGAGTACCACAGGCTAGGGTCTGCAGGAGAGACACTTTGAGCAGCACATTCCCCAGAGCTGCAGAAGTCAGGGCCCCCTCTTCCTTCTCTGTAGTGTGTCTCTGCCTGTGGCCAGCCCCATGCAAGGTAGTAGTGCAGAGAAGACGGCCATTTAATGAGTGCCTACTGTGTGCCCAACACGATTAGACACTGCCCTAGCATTTGCTCTGCCACTCACAGAGGCACAGAACATTTCAATACGACAGTCTTAACCAGTTAAAGTCATTACATTGTCCATTCAATTTTGTCTCTAGGACACTTTAACAACAAGATTTTTTGCACAAAACTGACTGCCTATTAAAAAGTGAATTAATTGTGTAGATATCATGCCCTTTACCCAATCTTTGACAAGAGTTTCTTGTTCTTTCTTTTTATAATTAGCAATATGTATTATCAAGTGTTTGTCAAGTACACATCTCTGAGTCTCACCTTATCCCTGAAGACCAACTTTTTAAAACTGAGGTGAAATTCACATAATGTAGAATTAATCATGTTAAAGTGAACAATTTATTGGCATTTAATATATTCATTCACTGTGTTTTGTGAGCACCACCTCTGTCAGTTCCAAAGCATTTTCATCACTCCTAAAGGAAACCCCGTTCCCATTAAGTAGTCATTCCCCATTTCCCCGCCTCAGACCCTGGCAATACGCTTCCTGTCCCTATGGGTCTTCCTATTCTAGATTTTTCATATAAATGGAATTACGTGATATGTGACTTTTTGTGACTGGCGTTTTTCACTTAGGGTTATGTTTAGAGGTTTATCCGTGTCATAGCACATATCAGTACTTCATTTCTTTGTATGGCTAGGTAACATTTCATTACGTGATTACACAGTACCTGTCTCACTTTGTTCATCCATTCATCCATTGATAGACATTTTGATTGTTTCCACCTTTTGGCTGCTGTGAATAGTGCAGCCAGGACTAGAATATAAATTTTTGTTTGAATATATGCTTTTAATTTTGGGGGGTATGTATCTAGGTGTGAATTACCAGACCATATGATAATTATATAATTAACTTTTAGAAGAATCACCCACCTGTTTTCCACAATGGCTGCCCCATTTTACATTCCCACAGCGGTGGATGAGGGTTGCAGGTTCTCCACAACCTCCTCACCAGCACTTGTTCTCTGTTTGGTTTTGTGGTGATGGTGATTGTTCTAATTATAACATCCCAGTAGGTATGAGTGATACCTCGTTGTGGTTTTTTTTTTTTTTTTTTTTTTTTTTTTTTTTTTTTTTTTTTTTTTTTTTTTTTTTTTTTTTTTTTTNTCCATTTCCCTAATGACTAATGTTGAGCACATTTTCAAATGTTTCTTGGTCATTTATATATCTTTCTTGGAGAAATGCCTATTCAAATCCTTTGCTAATTTTTAATTGTCTTTTTGTTGTTAAGTTGTAGGAATTCTTTTTTTTTTTGAGACAGAGTCTCACTCTTGTCACCCAAGCTGGAGCACAGTGGCATGTGATCTTGGCACACTGCAACCTCTGCCTACTGGTTTCAAGCCATTCTCCTGCCTCAGTCTCTTGAGTAGCTGGGATTACAGGCACCTACCACCATGCCCAGCTAATTTTTGTATTTTTAGTAGAGACAGCGTTTCACCATGTTGGCCAGGCTGGTCTTGAACTCCTGACTTCAAGTGATCTACCTGCCTCGGCCTCCCAAAGTGCTGGGTACAAGCATGGGCCACCACACCCGGCCTGGAATTCTTTACATATTCTGAATGTAAGACCATTACCTGATATATGATTTATAAATATTTTCTCCCATCTGTAGAGTGCCTTTAACTTTTTTGATAGTATCCATTGATGCATAAGTACTTAATTTTGCTGAAATCTATTTTATCTGTTTTTGTAGTTGTTGCTTGTGCATTTGATATCATATCTAAGAATCTCTTGCCAAATCCAAGTAATGAAATTTACTGGTTTTTTTCTAAAAGTTTTTTACCTTTTGCTTTTACATTTAGGTCTTTGATCCATTTTTATTTCATTTTTGTGTGGTGTGTGATAGAGGTCCAATTTTAATCTTTTCCATGCAGGTATATAGTTATCTAAGCACTATGTGTTGAAAGGACTATTCTTTCCCTAAATGAATGGCCTTGGCATCCTTGTCAAAAATCAAATTACTGGCTAAGCATGATGGCTTATGTCTGCAATCCCAGCATTTTGGAAGGCTGAAGCAGGTGGATCACTTGAGGCTAGGAGTTCAACACCAGCCTGGCCAACATGGTGAAACCCTGTCTCTACTAAAAATAAAAAAATTAGCCAGGCATGGTGGTGTGCACCTATACTCCCTGCTACTCGGGAGGTTGAGACAGGAGAATCTCTTGAACCTGGGAGGTGGAGGTTGCAGGGAGCCAAGATTGCACCACTACACTCCAGCATGGGCAACAGAGTGAGACCCTGCCTCAAAAAAAAAAAAAAATCAAATTACCTTAGATGTATGAGTATATTTTTGGGCTCTCAATTCTATCCTGTTAGTTTATATGTCTGTCGTTATGTCAGTAGCACATTGTTTTGATCATAGTTTTATAATAAGTTTTGAAATTGGAATGCATGAGTCTTCTTTGTTCTTTTTCAAAATTGTTTTGGCTATTTGCTGGGCCTTGCAATTTCATATGAATCTTATAACTCAATTTCCATTCCTGCAAAAAAAAGAAAGAAAGAAAGAAAGGCCCTTGGGATTTCTATAGGATTGCATTCAATCTGTAGATCACTTTGGAGAGTAGTGCAATATTAATAACATTAAGTCTTCCAATCCATGAACACTGGGTGTTTTTCCATTTTTGAGGAGGTATTCTTGATTTGTTTTCAGCAGCGTTTTGTTGTTTTCACTGTAAAAGTCTTGCACATCCTTGGTTAAAATTTTTCCTAAGTATTTTAGTCTTTTTGATGACATCATAAATGGAAACTTTTAAAAATTTCATTTTGGGATTATCCATTACTAGAGTATAAAAATACAATTGATTTTTGTTTATTGATCCTGTATCCTGAAACACTGCTGAATTCATTTACTAGCTGTAAGAATATTTTTGTGGATTCTTTAGAAATTTATATGCATAAGATTGTATCATTTGTAAAAATAGATTATTTTACTTCTTCCTTTCCAGTTTAGATGCCTTTGATTTCTCTTTTTTCCCCTACTTGCTTCAGGTAGAACTTGCATAACAACGTAGAGCAGAAGTGGTGAAATGGGGCATCGTTGTCTTCTTGATTTTAGCATTAAAGCTTTCAGTCTTTCATTATCGAGTAGGATGTTAGCTGTGTGTTTTTCACAAATGCCGTTTTATCATGTTAAGGAAGTTCCTTTGTATTTCTAGTGTTTTTATTATGAAAGGGTGCTGGGTTTTTCAAGTGCGTGATCAATTTTGATGACGGTTTTTCTGCATCAACTGAAATAGTCACGTGTGTTTTCTTTGTCCTATTAATGTGGTATATTACATTGAATATGTATTGATCTGCAATTTTCTTATGAGGTTTTTGTCTGGCTTTGGTATCAGGGTGATTCTGGTCTTATAGAATGAGTTAAGAAGTGCTCTCTCCTCTTCTATATTTTGGAAGCGTTTGAGAAGGATTCTTCTTTAAATGTCTTGTAGAGTTCACCAGTGAAGCTTTCTGGTCCTAGGCTTTTCTTTGTTGTGGGGTTTCTGATTACTGATTCAATTTTTTTTTCTTTTCTTTCAGCATCAGATTGGTGAAAAA